GATGAAATGGATCCTAGTTCTGAGTCTGGAGGTGCAGCTGCTAAGTCGCTGTTACTGAGCGCTGATTGGATGCAGCATTTGTAACATGCAATTAAATGTTGCCTGTAGTTCATGCATTTGGCCACTAGGGCTGATCCTCCCTGATGTAAGCGAGGCGTCTGAACCGTAGGTTTATCACAAATATTATAATTCTGGTTATATTTGGCCTTAGGAGAGCTAAAGGTTGCAGATGGCATATGCCAGTCAGGATCCGGCTTATGTTAGTTCACTTCTATTCAGTTTCTTTCTATAGCTCCAATTCACATCATGTCATCTCAGGTCACTTTCCAGTTCACCAGATCATCCAGTCAGATTGATTCAAAGTTTTCTATCTAAGGAAAACCAGCTGATTGCATCGACTCATTGACTCTTCAGCAATCCCTCACACTAAGCATGCTTGTAGCGACAGTGGAGAGGAAAAACTCCCTTTGAACAGGAAGAAACCTCCAGCAGAACCAGGCTCAGTGTGAGCGGCCATCTGCTGAGGCCCACTGGGGTTCAAGGAGACAGAAGCAGACATAGAAAAAGAAGCATAGATACAAAAGGCAACTGTCAGCTATGGAAGCTCATTGGTAGAATTCCCTCATGACAGAAAGAAGGCCACGATTCACACCATTCTATCATCCGGAGGGGGGGACACATTTAATTACAAATCGAATTCATACAGCTGTCTTAAAACACTTCATACATTCACTGCATCGTCAAAAATTCTATTATCCCCAACCTTCAATCTATTCTGGGCGGCATTTATAGTTTCCACATCGCACTGTGTGGATGCACGTGCACGACTGGACGCTCTTCCTGGAAATATCTTAGCTTATGACCTGATTGCGTGCGAGTCAGCCAGTAAGAACCCTGTTTTTGCCAAGATTCGTACGTGACTCCCAGCATGTTTACATGCTGCATTCTCTGTGTTGCTAAGTGAGCATAAGGTCAGAAACAGGACTACATAACGCAGTACAACTGCTTCCATATTTAGCAAGCTAGCCAGATATTTATATTCTACACAACCAGCTCCACAGGCGGCCCCGTCCAGGAAACACACAGCCAGGCAGACGGGCTCCGAGCCAGCTCCCATGTCAGAGGATGAAGAGAGCACTTCCAGTTAGTCACAGTCAGAGAAACAGGACTACACTGGAAAACAGGCCAAGCTCCAACATCTAGAAACAAAGGTGTTGATGGCAGCAGCACAGCTGATATTTCTCTCCAGGATGGAGTCACAGCCAAACAGGAACAGACCAGATGAAGCTACTATGAGAAAAAGCAGAGAGAGCAGAACGTTAGAGATTGAACTAACAGATTCTGCAGAGTGGGAGAATAGAGATAGAATGAAGCAGAATGATGAAAAAGGGGTCCCTATGTCCTCCAGCAGTCTAAGCCTATAGCAGCAGAACTATAGAGATAGCTCAGGATAACCTGAGCCACTCTAACTAGAAGCTTTATTAAACCACCAAATTGCCAGTTGGGAACTGGCATAAGCCGGTTCTAACTGGCATATTCCTTTTTTCAAAATTGGCTCTGACTGTCACTCCTCTAGAGGCCAGTTAAATGCAACCTGTGGAGCGTTTGCTTAAATATTTTGTGGAACTAAAACTTTAACCGACTGGGGATTAAGATGTGTAACAAACTGCCCATCAGTCCTCTGGTTGTAGCCCTGCCTTGCTCAGGAGCACTGGGGTAGATCTCAGGTGAGGCAGTTTAGTGATTAAAAACAATAAATGCTTGTTTAATGTCCAAAAGAATAGAAGCAGAAATGATTTACGTGAGTTAAAATAAGAATTAGGCCTTAAGACTTTCCTCCCTAATGATCGCCACCAGCCTGCAGCCGCCGCTCACCGGACATGTGTGTGTGTGTGTGTTGGTGTGTGTGTGTGTCAGTGTGTGTGTGTGTGTGTGTTGTGCTGCTTACTCATTACATCTGCATGGTTGTGACAAAAATAATCACTTGTCTTCCTCACATAGTCATCCTCTCTCTGCTGATGTTACTGTTATTACTTAGTGCTGATGTCAACATCTCCATTCAAGAGCCTCCAGCAACCCCCCCCACACACACACACACAAACACAGATCCGTCTTTTAAATACTTTCTGAGGATTTCCATTCATTTTAAAACAGTTCAAATGCAACATCTAGACATAGATCTAGAGAGACAGACAGGGATCTATTATAAAGAAAACATGTTAGATTATTTCTGCAGCTTCCAGATTAGCAGACGGGCCTGGAAACCAAAGTGAGTTTTGGGGGACCCCAAGGTCCAGAGCTATAAAAAGGAGAACCAGTCCAACATGTTTATCCCTGACATCCTGCAGCATCAGTACCAGCCTCCCTGACAGAAGCCAAGCTGAGAGGCTCTGATGGCAGTTATCCTGTGGAGCCGTTAATCATCGCTCTGCAGAATTAACGAGCCCAGACAGGAGGATCATCCTCAACACACACAAAGAATGATCTGCACTGCATAAACAACCTAGAAATAAGTCAACACTTCTTAAATTAAGTATATTTACCCTTAATTTGAGCAGATAAATAAGTTGATTTGCAAATTTAATTAGTATTTTTACTCCTAAGATTATATGATAATTAGATAATTTTTTTTTTCCTTATTTTAAATGTAAATTATCTTGTTCATTGGCTAATTGCATCGACTCATTGACTCTTCAGCAATCCCTCACACTAAGCATGCTTGTAGCGACAGTGGAGAGGAAAAACTCCCTTTGAACAGGAAGAAACCTCCAGCAGAACCAGGCTCAGTGTGAGCGGCCATCTGCTGAGGCCCACTGGGGTTCAAGGAGACAGAAGCAGACATAGAAAAAGAAGCATAGATACAAAAGGCAACTGTCAACCAGCTCCTCAGGCGGCCCCGTCCAGGAAACACACAGCCAGGCAGACGAGCTCCGAGCCAGCTCCCATGTCAGAGGATGAAGAGAGCACATCCAGTTAGTCACAGTCAGAGAAACAGGACCACACTGGAAAACAGGCCAAGCTCCAACATCTAGAAACAAAGGTGTTGATGGCAGCAGCACAGCTGATATTTCTCTCCAGGATGGAGTCACAGCCAAACAGGAACAGACCAGATGAAGCTACTATGAGAAAAAGCAGAGAGAGCAGAACGTTAGAGATTGAACTAACAGATTCTGCAGTGGGAGAATAGAGATAGAATGAAGCAGAATGATGAAAAAGGGGTCCCTATGTCCTCCAGCAGTCTAAGCCTATAGCAGCAGAACTATAGAGATGGCTCAGGATAAGCTGAGCTATTCCGGATGAGATATCAGAAACTAAACTTTCTCCTAAGGAGGTTGTTGGTTCTAATATTTGCCTCCTAATCAGCATGGAAACTATTGGAATGGATTTAGCTTTATTTAGGTGATGGATTCATTGTGGCAGCATAGACCAATGTAAACTAGAGACTCAAACTGAGTGACTGAACTGTCTTCCCCGTGCTGTCATCATTGGTTCTGTGCTCTTAAAGGTGGAGCTCTGTTCATGCTAACAGCAGCATGTGTGGTGTCGGGCGCCATGCTAACTGAAGCGTGCTGTAATGTTTTCTGCAGCGGTCACTGTGCTGCTGAACTCCTGTTGGCTTTTAAAGAAGCCGCGTCGCCGAGCTGCCGTTATAGGAGGTGACACGTCTGTTTGCACGTGTGGATGAAGCTAAGCCGGGCTGAATGGTCCCGCCCTGCGGCACACTCTGGCCTTCATTCGCTCCTCTGGTTCAGCTCTACCTGGATGCTTCCTCAACGTTACCGAGCTTCAGCTTTTACTCCTGACTGCAGCTGGATGTCAGGGTTGATGATCTCTGAGGTCATCAGGGCGGAGAGGTCAGGGCCTTTTCTCTGAACCAGTGAAACTGATCTGGCCCAGATATCCTGGTCCTGAATCTGAAAATTTAACGTTTTAATCCAGCGAAGAAGAATTAATGAACCGCTGGGACTGGATTAACTTTATGTCTGCTTTAAAATGGGATCTTTTCACTTCACTTTATACAAGTTTGAAATCAACTAATGTGAACAAAAATGCCCTCTGACGGTTGCCATGGTGATGTTACCATGAACCTATCAACAGAATTAACTTCGTTTTATTAATTTGTTCATTTTTTAATATCAGTTGTTAAAAAAAAAGCAAAATGACGGATTTTTGTTAATTGTTCTTGAATGTAACTGATTGGTTGATTGGTTAATTAATTGAGTCTGATTGATTGATTAGGTCTGATTAAGAGATAGACAGATTAATTGGTATGATTGATTGAGTCTTATTGATTGATTGATTTTGCATTGTCTTTTAATAAATTACTTGATCTGTTTCATAAAAATGATTCAATATTTAATCTAATGTAACTTAATTTGTCTCTGTGATTAAATCCAGTTTATATACAGACAGGATTTCAGTTTTCACCCTATATTACCTGTTTCCAGATATCGTAGCTTCTTAATTCCCAATTTGATTGATTAATTACTGGAAAGTTAGAAAAATTGGCTCTTTTTTGTTTTGATGATGTTGATGTCAAATAACTTCAGTTGCATCATCTTATAAGAAATACGTCAGAAGATCGTCATGGAAACGATATTTAGTTCTCACCTTTTTTTAAATATGATCCCATTTAAGCCGATGGGATTAAAAGTGAATTAAAATTTAACTTCAGTTTCTTGAGAACAACAAACTATGAAATCTGTTTCCGAGTTGCATTTGAATGTTGGCCACAGGAAGAACCAGACGAAGAAGTTACACAGATGTGGTCCAGATGTTTCGATGACTGCATCGACACAGGATTTATTTAAACATTACAGGATCTCCGTTTGATTCTCTAACCATACATGTTCCATTCATGAGAGGTCAGAAGATCTGAACAGATGTTGATGATGGAACCAAACATCTGTATCCTCGGTGCTGCCTGTGGATCGTGCTGCAGCTCAGACCTTTTCTGCGACTCTTAACGCGCCTCTAAGCTGCTGCTGTTGCTTCCTCAGGTCTTCTCAGGGATCTTCACTGCAGAGATGCTGCTGAAGATCATCGCTCTGGATCCGTACTACTACTTCCAGACCGGCTGGAACATCTTCGACAGCATCATCGTCTGCCTCAGCCTCATGGAGCTGGGTCTGTCGGACGTGGAGGGTCTCAGCGTTCTGCGCTCCTTCAGGCTGGTAGGTCTTCCTGTTTGGTCCTGATGTCAGATCAGATGACTCGGTCATCATCATGGAGGGAACGGAAACCCCAGCTGCTCGAAACCTGAACTTCTCTAGCTGTGAGATGTTTGGGTTCTACTGGACCGGGACAGTCCGGGTTGATTGTTGATTGGTTGATGCTGAATGATGTCACTGAACCTACAGGTCCAGCTCAGGACAGTTTTCTGTCCCACAAAGAAGGTATTCAAGGCAAGACAGACAGTGGAATAAACTTAAAGAAAGTTTATTAAAAGCAGGTGAATCTGCAGATCTGAGTAGCAGCTGCTAGGGTGTCTGAGGCTGGAAACTGCAGGCGAGAAACACAGGTTAGTGACCACCTAAATCTAACGGTGGAAGATTATGAACGTGAGTCACTAACCTGGTTTACCAGTTCGGTCCAAGCCCAGAGAACGAGGTAGGATCCAGCCGGTGGGCTGCTAACTAGATGCGGCGGGAGACGCCCAGAGTGTCTCAGATGCTGCAGCCCCGGAGAACATGCAGGAGTCTGAAGCCAGTTCAGGCAAACAGATCAGAACAGGAACAGGCAGGCTCAGTAGTTGAGAGGCACAACAGGTCAGGATCAGTAAATCAGAAACACCAGGGAACTCTAAGAAAAACACTCACCACTGGCAGATGATAGGTAATGAGCAACTTGGCAGAGTTAGACGGGTGAATGAAATGAGTAATTAAGCCAGCCATCAGTGCCAAGATCCCGGTATTCCATGGTCTTTTTCAGAAGATGATTATTGGGGTAGATATTGGCTGATATTTGTGTTTTGTTTCTTGTATCGTTATTATCAGCAGCCATGCCTTGAGGTCCCATGAAGGGCATGGATTGCCTCTCTCTATTTGCTATCTGATGTTAATGATTTGTTTTTATTTGTTCAAACTTTTTTATCAGTTATTATTGTGTCTCAGACTTCCCTCTCTGCAGAAACCTCCTTCGGCTCCTCTTGGAGAAGCCAGAGGCGCTCCCAGATCAGCCCAGAGACAGAGGCGTCCACCCTGATCCCTGACCCCTCCATCAATGTATAGTGGACTTTATAGGGAACATGTGACCCCACCCTCAGAGTCTGCACCATCTTTGTTCTTTCTCTCCCCAAAAAATCCCAAGATACTTTGCAAGGAGAGCTCTTGCAAAACATTCCAGGATATATCTGCTTGCCTAGTGACCATCGATGCTCTCTACTTTTAATAGTGCCCTATGTAAGGGTTAGGGCGGCTGTTCAGACACAGCCATAGTCCCTCATGAGTTGTCCTCTAGGCCTCCTCCCGGTGGGACAAGCCTGGAACACCTCGCCATGGAGGCGTCCAGGGGACATCAGAAAAAGATGCCTTACCTCGGCTGACTCTTCTTGATGTGGAGGAGAAGCGGCTCTACTCTGAGCCTCTCCCTGATGACCGAGCTAGGCCGACCGGTAAATCCAGAGCTTTGCTTTTTTGCTCGGCTCTCTCTTCACCACAGCAACCGCAACGATCTGGTTTTTACTTCCTCAACTGCACATGATACCTGCTTGCTGCCTGAGAAGTCCCGCTAGCAAACCAGGCTTAATGGGAATCCTTCAGCTTGACAGCAGCCATTACTGCCAGTGTCTAACACTGAGTTCGGGGATTGGCTGTGATGCCTGATGATAGTCTGACTGTCTGCAGACCATCACTGCAGGGAGTCTGTCTGGCTTCCTCCTCTTCCAATGTATCCAGCTCACCAGTAGGTGGCGATCGGTGGACAGCTCCGCCCCTCTCTTCTAGTGTAGAAAGTTCGTCATCGACCTAGGGTACCACATGCACCTGGTGACATCTTTATGCTTGAACATGGTGTCCAGTAATGGAACACAGCCTGGGTTTAGAGCTGGGGGGCATCCCTCCTGATCACCCCCTTCCTGGTGTCAGCTTAGTTTCCCACATGGGTGTTGAAGTCCCCCAGCAGAATAATGGAATCTGTACTGTTGCTTTGGACAGTAGGCCACATCAACGGTCAGAGACCCATCCTCCTACACGAAGGAAAAGAGCTGCAACACTCGTCCACAGGGCTAAACTCCATGACGAGACAGCTGAGCCGGGGGGAGAGAGGCCCTCCGCCTCTCCCGGTGGGCCACTCCAGAGTATATGAGAGTCCAGCCTCTCTCCTGAAGTTGCGTTCCAGAGCCCACACCATGTGTGGAGGCCAGACTAACTATTTCTAGTTGATATCGCTCCACCTCCTGCACCAGCTGAGACTCCTTCCCCCTAGCGAGGTGACATTCCACACCCCCTTAGCCAGTTTAAGTATCCATGGATCAGGTGATCGAGGCCTCCGCCTCATAGTTCCTCCTGCAGGTGGTGAGCCCAATGGGGGATGGCCTTGTGCCGCTCCTTCGGCCGGGTAACACGAGAAAGTTCCCGACCACCGGGCACTCACCGATAAACCCCAATCCCTAGTTGCTCAAGAGTGGGGTCCCGTCTCTGCCGTATCGGGTAATGTCACGTGCCTCGAACTTTTTGGCAATATGGAGGCTTTTGGTACTGCTCTTTGTCTGACCTGCCACCCAGAGTCTGTTTGCCCTGGGAGAACTCACCAGGGGCCGACAATGGAATCCTCCTGACACTGAAAACCCTCCACGATATTAGGATGTTTTTGGTGCTGGCCTAATGATCAGTGAGGACTGATACACTGATGTTAAAATAATGTATTAATCGATCTCTGCTCCTTATCTCACTATGAGCTCCATTTGAAGAATCTGTGACAGAACAACACGAAGAGAGGGCAGGAGGAAAACAGTTTTCAACAGTCGCCATGCAGACTGAAGCAAGGAAAGGTTAAACTACAGCTGATCTGTTTCTAGCCTCAAAGGTACTTTTGAAAATATCATAGAACAACCAAGGAACCCAACAGACGGGTCAAGAAGGATGTTCTGGCTCAGTTTAAAGTAAGGTTCCATCCATCAGCTGAGCATGGAGAGAAGATAGAGACACTGTAGACCTGAACTGATCAGTCAAGAAGAGCATGGATGGAGACAGAAGAAGACCCACCTTAAGTATAACGCCAGAGATAAAGGTGAAAGCGTTTGACCATTTTGAAATGGCCTAGTCAAAGCCCAGACGTCAATCCAACCAATAATCTGACCTAAAGGATGATGTTCAGCGATGTCGTCTTGCTCTGTCTCATAAAATCCAATTTAAATGTGAAAAAATCAGGGAGTGAAAACTTTGTGAGGTTCTGAACCACATATCCCGTCTTCTTCTGACCTCAGCTACGCGTCTTCAAGCTCGCTCGCTCCTGGCCGACGCTCAACACCCTCATCAAGATCATCGGGAACTCCATGGGCGCCCTGGGCAACCTGACGCTGGTCCTCGCCATCATCGTCTTCATCTTCGCTGTGGTGGGCATGCAGCTGTTTGGGAAGAACTACCAGGTGAGGCTCCAGATGTTTAGCCTTCGTGAGACCATCCTGATCTCGCGAGCTTTCAAGGTTTCACTCGCTAATCAGTCTGGAGACTCTCCGTTAAAGAAAATTTGGAGCTGTTCACCAAACGAACGTCCAATCAGCGTTGGCTTTGAGGCGGGTTGAGGTGTGACGCAACGAGAAGCGCGACAGTTCAGTCTAAAGAACATGGCGGCTTCAGCCAATGAAACTAGCGTTAGCGTGGCTATCGAGCAAGTTTTATGGGAATTACAGAGTATTACTTCTCTGAAAGAAGAACAAAACACTGCTCTGGAGGCTTTTCTCAGAGGAAAAGATGTTTTTGCTCTTCTCCCGACTGGTTTCAGCAAGAGTTTGATCTATCAATTGGCTCCTCTTCGTCGTCGCTCTGTTAGTGCGTCATATGCTTCGTTAATCTGATTGGTTTATTTGGCCCGTCTATCACCAACATAGGCCAATCAGCTAACCAGTATTTTCGCCCCTTCCCAAAATTACTTCAACGGAAGGTTTCCAGATGGATTTGCGGAGCAGATCCATCTGGGGAAGTCAGGTTAGCGGATGTTGCTCAGTGGCTCTGATCCATGAATGTCTGACCTCTAGCTCTCCACCTTCAGGAGTGCGTCTGTAAGATCTCCAAGGACTGCGTCCTTCCTCGCTGGCACATGAAGGACTTCTTTCACTCCTTCCTCATCGTCTTCAGAGTGCTGTGCGGCGAGTGGATCGAGACCATGTGGGACTGCATGGAGGTGGCCGGCCAGCCGCTCTGTATCCTCGTCTTCATGCTGGTCATGGTTATCGGGAACCTGGTGGTGAGTTCTCCCTGCTCTGTCATGGTGGCCAATAGAGGGCGCCAAAGCAGAAGGTTTCTAACTGAAATGGTTCAAAGCTGCTGGTTCTGCTGAGTCAAAGTGCATCAGAAGGACCCTGGTTTGGTTGGACTTCAGAGTTCTGTTAGGTTCAGTTTCAGTCCTCACCTCTCATGGAGCTTCTAAGGGAGCTATTCTGACCCATATGGACGGGCTAATGCTGCGTTCACACCAAAGCTTCAAAAAACGCTCAAACGCAGAAATCTGGACTCTGGATCAATCTGTGGTCCAGCTGCTTTGCTGTTCTGGTTGTTTATCTGCTCGGTTCTATAGCTTTAAACCAGAGAGCAGCTCGGCTTTATTTACTTTGAGTTAGGAAAATAGTTTTAACACGTTTTTAAACGAGAAAATTCACCTCTGAACATCCTCTGTTCATCAGTTCATCAGGGTTATAATCCCACTAAAATCTGCAGCTGTTGTTGGGAGCTCATGAGTGGAAATCCCCACTGGAAGCTCTCTGCTGTGGCCTGTGGGGGGTTTCCTGCTGCCGCTCTGCAGCTGGAAGTGAATAGAAAGAGATTCTAAGGTTTGAGGTAAAAACTGCAAGAACCAGAAAATACAATCATCCATCCATCCATCCATTATCCATCCATTTTTCATCCATCCAGTCTTAACCTAAATCCAGTCGTCTTTTCATCAGAAATGATGTAACTTATTTCCTCCTCATCGTCCTTCCTGGTTCTTATTACAGCCTGGAGTGACTTCCTCATCTGCAGCCGTCTGTGGATCATAACGAGTCTCTGAGTTGGCAGCAATAACTGGGCTCCTGTTAGGCTTAATGCTCTCGTGGAGATTTAATAATGAGGCTGATACAGCAGGCAGGAGCACACTCACACGCTCATTGTCACTAACAGCACTTATATCTGCTTCTGCAGAGGTTTACACTGACCCCAGTGAACCAATGTACCTGAACACAGCGCGGTGCATTTGAGTCACGATGACCGCAGCTTTTCTTTTCACCTGATTTATCCCGTTAGGGACGCTCTGATTCTGATCCATGTGGAGGCATGTGTGCTCGCCTCTTCTCCTTTAGGAGACGCCAAGTGTTTCATCCTGTGATGGATAAATCTAATGAACGTTACAGAGTGTCTGAAGAAAGGAAGACGGAGGCAAAGAATATAAAAAAAACAACAAAACTGACAAAAATGTGGGGGAAAAAATCAGAATAAGAGCAGCGAATGGATCGGAGATAAGAAGGAAAAATAGGGGAGAGAAATAATAGATGTTTGAAATAAAGGAGCCAGAAATAAATTCTATGAAGGAAAATGGATAATTTAGAAAGATGCTGTTGAAGATTATCAGTCATCCAGGTCAGATTCATAAAAAAAAAAAATCAATCCTCTGGACTTTGTTTCCAAGTTTGAAGACGTTTCTCTTCCATCCAGGAAGCTTTTTCAATCCAAATGTCAGAAATAGCGTTTAGTTCCAGGTTTTATCCAGCAGCCCAACAAAGCCTGGTTTTAGTTTAGAAAACATGCAAATAGAAACGGATGAACGGGTCCCCCCCTTTGGAATGGGGGTCGTTTGGCTTCTTTGTTAGCCTGCAATGCCCCATACCTGTCTATGTCTCTGAAAGGGGGGTCGTTAGAGGAAAAGTCCGAAAATATTCAGAATTCAAATTTCCGAAAGTAATTTAAATATGACATTCATTGAAAAAGTTTCCTGGATGGAAGAGAAACGTCTTTTAACTGGGAAACAAAGTCCAGAGGATTGATTTTTTTTCTTACTTACCGCTTCTTACGTCTGGACCAACAGTTCAGCACCAATTAGGATCTCACACCAGGATTAATAAAATATTTTTGAAAGAATTGAATTAAACCAACATGGCCGTTAGAGAGGAGATCAGAGGGAGTCTCTGAGGGAGCAGCAGGAGGGATCAATGGAAGCCGCTCTGCAAAAACGATCCAAGAATTAGTAAAGTTTAGGGATGCAGGATATTGGGATTTTGGCCGATATCCGATATGCCGATATTTTAAAACTCATGTAGCCGATAACCGATATCGATACCGATGTTAAAGCTGGACAAAAATAAGTAGTCATTGAAAATAGCAGTTTTGTTATCCATTTCTGACACTTTGAAAAATAATAAACTCAAATATATTTTCATATGCTGATATCAAATAGATTTTTAAAAACGCGGTATCGATCTATTTTACTTTCAGAATCTGGTGAAATTTCATGGTTCTGTTACAAACTCTCGTGATATTTTGCAAATTCTTGTGAGATTTTGTTAGTAAAATAGATCGATACCGCGTCAATATATCAACATATAAAAATATGGCAACATTTGGTGAATTTTCGGGGGATTTCGTAGCATAACGATGACATATAGCAATATTTCATTAGTAAAAGAGATTGATATGGTGTTTTTAAATGGCAATATATCAGCATATGAAGATATTGGGATATTTTAATGGATCAATATTTTTTCCCTCGTCTTTAGAAGTTTTTAAGTCTGTAAAAAAGAAGTTTTTGAGGAAGAAGAAGAAGTAGTATTTATTATTTTTTTTTTAGACTTTAGAAACTCAGAAGCTGATCAAATATCGGGTTAAATATCGGTGGGGTGGCCGATGTCCGATATTCAGTTTTAAGGCCGATACCGATAGGGGGCCCATTATATCGTGCATCCCTATTTAAATGTAGGTAAATGATTTACCAATGGAATGAGTATTTTTACTCTTAAAATAAGATAATTAGATAATATGCACCTGAAATAAGACAATATTATTGTTTTTTCTTATTTTAAATATAAATTGTCTTGTTGAATTGGCAAAGTGTCTCACTTATCTCCTTAATTCAAGAAAAAATGCACTTATTCTAAGAAAAAATTACCTATTGAGATTTAAATTTTTTGCAGTGCAGACCCAGCACTGAAAAAACGATCTATAAATAAGTTAAAATTTCCTAAATTAATTGTATTTACCCTTAATTTGAGTTGGAAAATCAGATACTTTGACAATAGAATGAGTATTTTTACTCTTAAAATAAGATAATTAGATAATATGCACTTGAAATAAGACAATGCAACTATGTTTTCTTATTTTAAGTGGAAGTTGTCTTGTTCCATTGGCAAAATGTCTCTTTTACCTCCTTAATCCAAGAACAAATGCACTTATTTCAAGAAAACAGGACTTATCTATATTTTTATTTTTTCCAGGAACCCAAACGTTCCAGATCTGATCTCTTTAAAACGTTCTGCATGTTTCAGCTTCATCTCAGTGAAAGAAACACCGACAGAAAACCTTAAATCACCGATCGGAAGAAAATAAAGAATAAAAAGGGAAAAAGGAGAACAGGAAAAAAAAGGGAAAATGTGAGGAAATAAAAGAATAATTTGTAAATAACAGCTAATAGAAACAGAAGAAAAATAATGGAGGACAAAAAATAAAAGCATCATGAATTGCTGCAAGTAAACGAACTACAACGATTAAATAATGAGTGAAAAATGGAGGAACTAATGGAATAAAAACAGGTGAGAGAGCAGAAGGAAGAGAAGACAGAAGAGAATAAAAAATAAAAGGAATAAAAAAAGAAGGATGGAGGATAAAAGAGGGAGAGCAGAAAGATAAACAGAAGAGAAGAAGGAAGCGGTTCTGTTAGAGCGGAGCCAGCAGAGCTTTATTAATCTGACGGGATGCTCTCCATCAGCTGCAGATGTTCCTCCATGTTCCTCCATGTTCCATCAGACCTGGACGTCTTTGTTCTTCCTGTCTGAAGTGGAGCAGAGCTGCGTCTCTTCATGACAAACGAGCAGCTGAACGGATTTCGCTGAGTTAGCTCTGCAGGTGCAGCACACCTGCCACCCCCCCTCCTCCTATGACCGTACGCATGCAGGTTCATCACTGCTGCTGTGGATCCATTGTTTCTGATCAGCTGTGGTCCTTCCATCCAGCTCTGACTTTAGCTTTAATCTCTTCAGGAATTTAACCAAACTGGAGATGATCCGGTTCCTGCAGCCAGAGCCGGTTTGGGTCCAAGCTTTCCTCTAACCAGTCCGTCCAGCATGCAGGTTCCTCTGCAGGATCTCCATGGATCCCTGGGTCATTCCATGGAAACATTGGACCTTTGAATTTAGAGGTTTTTGATCATAACTTTTCTTTTTTTTTGTTTCATAGCCTATAGAACACCTAACATTTGGAATAAAACCGATTTTTTCAAGCTCAGACACCATTTTCTGAGAGTATTTTAGCAGGTTATATCCCGTCACAGGGCAAATGTTAACAAATTCAGTAGTAATTTTAGATAAAAGTAAAAAAAAGCAAAATGTTATTCACTTTAGAAAGCTTCCTTTGTGTTCAAAAATACCAAAAGTTAGTTTAAAGAGTTTTTTTAATGTTTTTATTTTATGTAAAGCGTTTGTTTTTAAAACCTAATGCGTCTAACGGAGCTTAAAAAAGAAAGTCGGACTAAATCAGGAAATAAGCGCCGTGATTGGCTGTCAGGAGAGCGGAGACAGAGGACTCAGAGTTTACTGGAGATAACCTGCTGCTGACCAGGTTAGCTCTGGGATGAGGTTACCATGGCAACAGAAACGGAGGATGTTGTGAAACGGAAAGTTTCTCAGATTTAGAAAACTTGGAGTTTTCAGTAAACCGGACCCAAAGAGGACGGCCTGTTGAGTTAGAAGCATTTATCTTTGTAACCCAAACTGATAAAAATGATTGTCCTCTAATCTGACTGAGCTAAAACCAGCTGTTAGCTAATACCCCTCCATCCTACTGCAGGTTACGCCTTCTGCCCCCAAGAGGCAAAGCGTGAAATAAAAACCATTTATCTTCTAAATGAATTGCTGATGTGGAAACCGTCTGTTCTGTTGTGAATCCAGTTATCGACGACTGGAAAGCGGAAAAGGTCATTGGTCAATACTGCAGGTTGCCATGTTTACCAATTACAGCCATCGATCTATTGGTGTTTGATTTCCACTCGCAGCCAATCGGATGTCAGCAATTTGGGTCAGGGAGGCGGAGCCTGTGACAGCTGAGCAGGGATCAGTAACAGAAACCACAACAAACATGGCTGCCATCAATGAACACACACACACACACACACACATGTTCACACAGCCGGTCCCTGTTAGACAGTAAAACATCCTCAGTCAGATTCAGCTGCGGCTGGTGGAGTTTTCTCCAGGGGGGGGTTACCATAAGCTAATCTAACATATACTAAGTTATCACACCAGTATATTTACATCAATGCCAACAACTAAAAACATTATTTCCATATTATATTTACTATTTGTCCATAAATCTGTGTTTTGATCCAATATTGAGACACAAACCTAAAAAAAATATCTGCTGGTTTAATAATGGAGAAGCTATTAGTCAGCTTTATGTTTTTTTAATATATAAAAACTTTCTAAGAATGTGTTTATTTAAGAGGAACTATGCACATTAACAAACATGTAGAAAAATTAGACTATATTCTATAATTTTCCATGTGAATCCCAGATTGTTGTTCTTCTTTGCCTTTTCTATAAAGTTCTTTAAATCAGTCCTAGCTGCCTTTATCCATGCTGGATCTGATCCTGACCTTTGAAAAAGGAGACAGGATAAAGCCTACTGCAGGCAGTTATCCTTGCTGCATGCAGTTAGCCTGACTGCATGCAGTTAACCTCGCTTCAGGCAGTTAGCCTGGCTGCAGGCAGTTAGCCTAACTGCATGCAGTTAGCCTCGCTTCAGGCAGTTAGCCTGGCTGCATGCAGTTAGCCTCGCTTCAGGCAGTTAGCCTGGCTGCATGTAGTTAGCCTCGCTTCAGGCAGTTAGCCTGACTGCATGCAGTTAGCCTTGTTGCATGCAGTTAGCCTCGCTGCATGCAGTTAGCCTCGCTGCAGGCAGTTTGCCTCGCTGCATGCAGTTAGCCTGGCTGCAGGCAGTTTGCCTTGTTGCATGCAGTTAGCCTCGCTGCATGCAGTTAGCCTCGCTGCAGGCAGTTTGCCTCGCTGCATGCAGTTAGCCTGGCTGCAGGCAGTTTGCCTTGTTGCATGCAGTTAGCCTCGCTGCATGCAGTTAGCCTCGCTGCAGGCAGTTAGCCTCGCTGCATGCAGTTAGCCTGACTGCATGCAGTTAGCCTCGCTGCAGGCAGTTAGCCTGGCTGCATGCAGTTAGCCTGGCTGCAGGCAGTTTGCCTTGTTGCATGCAGTTAGCCTCGCTTCAGGCAGTTAGCCTCGCTGCAGGCAGTTTGCCTCGCTGCATGCAGTTTGCCTCGCTGCATGCAGTTAGCCTCGCTGCAGGCAGTTTGCCTCGCTGCATGCAGTTAGCCTGGCTGCAGGCAGTTTGCCTTGTTGCATGCAGTTAGCCTCGCTGCATGCAGTTAGCCTCGCTGCAGGCAGTTAGCCTCGCTGCATGCAGTTAGCCTGACTGCATGCAGTTAGCCTCGCTGCAGGCAGTTAGCCTGGCTGCATGCAGTTAGCCTGGCTGCAGGCAGTTTGCCTTGTTGCATGCAGTTAGCCTCGCTTCAGGCAGTTAGCCTGGCTGCATGCAGTTAGCCTCGCTTCAGGCAGTTAGCCTGGCTGCATGCAGTTTGCCTCGCTGCATGCAGTTAGCCTGGCTGCAGGCAGTTTGCCTTGTTGCATGCAGTTAGCCTCGCTGCATGCAGTTAGCCTCGCTGCAGGCAGTTTGCCTCGCTGCATGCAGTTTGCCTCGCTGCATGCAGTTAGCCTCGCTGCATGCAGTTAGCCTGGCTGCAGGCAGTTTGCCTTGTTGCATGCAGTTAGCCTCGCTGCATGCAGTTAGACTCGCTGCAGGCAGTTAGCCTCGCTGCATGCAGTTAGCCTCGCTGCATGCAGTTAGCCTGGCTGCAGGCAGTTTGCCTTGTTGCATGCAGTTAGCCTGACTGCATGCAGTTAGCCTCGCTGCATGCAGTTAGCCTAGCCTTGGAGCTAAACCAGGTCCTGGAAAAGGATGTTTCTTGCACCATTTCTCTCTCTCCCTCGACCTGTCAATCACCCCCCAAAATGTCTGCAAACACACTTCCTGTTAGCTGGTGGCGCAGCTCCCCTGCACCCTGAGCTCTCCTGTCCTTCTGTATTGCAGAGGAGCTGCTGCACATTGACAACTTTTAATGAGAGTCAATGGGAAAAGATCTTTGCACCCTAAGAAGGAAATACGTCACCAATCCATCCAAAAATGGAAATTCAATGTCAAATTTATTTATATAGCTCTTTAAAAACAGGTATAAAACTGCACCAAAGTGCTTTACAGGAAAGACAACATCACCAATTATCAAAACAGAATGTGAAACACTGCTTCAATTAAAAGCCGAAGAATAAAAATACGTTTTAAGAAGCGATTTAAAATGATCCAGGCTGTGGGCGGATTTAATTTGAAGCGGTAATTTGTTCCACAGAATCGGAGCAAAAACAAATAAAACCCGATCTCCTTTCCTCTTAGATCGAGTCCGAGGAACTGTCAGTAATAGTTAATTATTAGAACGTAGACTTCTGGACACAGAAGGTCACGTTACGCTTTACTAGTCATTAAAGATTAAATATTGATCTTGCAAGCTTCCTGGATGGGAAGAGAAACGTCTTCAAACTTGGAAACAAAAATCCGGTGGATAGTTTTTAACGTAACTTTTAATAATGACCTGGATGACTGAGAATCTCCACCAGCATCCAGTCATTGGTCTAATTTCCATTCTGCTTCATTTAAGTTCTTTTCTAGTTGTAGTTTTGTCATATCTGCTCCCCTTCTAGCTGCTTCTGTCCACACCTGCTCCCAATTAGCTGATCACTTCATTCCTTGTTCTCTCCCATGAATACCGTACTGTCCTGAATATAGGCGACCCTCTTTTTTAACGTATCTTATATTCAGGCCAATACGATCTTTCTCCTCTGCTGTTCCTCATTCTGGATCCTCTTCACCCCTCATGTAGGTTTCTTCCTGGTGTCTCCTAGCTTTGGTTCCCTGTTTGATATTTCTGGAGTTGCTCTTCTGTTACCTTTAAATCTGCAAACAATCATCTCTGCCTCTTCATCGTTGCATTTGGGTCCTTCGCTAACTTCCACTGAACTTGGCAGGTTTAGTTTATGGTCCATCAGCGGTTAAATGTTTGCAGCAGAGCAGCGCAGTAGAGGAAGCGATGGGTTTGGGTTCTGTTCTTTGGGTTTGGGTTTCCAGGTGTTTCCATGATTGAGGTGAGAACCTGCAGCTGACTGCGTCTCTCTGCTCCGTCTGCAGCTGCTGAACCTCTTCCTGGCTCTGCTCCTCAGCAGCTTCAGCTCCGACAACCTCTCCTCTCCAGATGAAGACGGGGAGATGAACAACCTGCAGATCGCCATCCGCAGGATCACCCTGGGTCTGGGCTGGTGCCGCCGACAGGTACGCGCCTCTCCGGGTCCGCATGCTCCGACCCGTTTAGCAGAACCTGCCGCAGCGCTGAGGTTGCTTCTGTGGTGCAGGTGGTGGACTTCTTCAACGGGAACCTGAAACGGCGCCGTCAGAAACGGAAGGAGGCCAAGGCCATGATGAAGCTGAAACGGCTGAGCACCGTGCACACCGAGTTCAACGGAGCCGTCATCGGTAACCGGCTCCTGATTGGTTCTCTGACCAGATCCACAACCAATCGGACCGGAACCGTCTTTAAGTAACCACCCCCCCTCTCTTCCAGGGCGGCATGTGGAGAAATACGTGGTGCCGGAAGATGACAGCTACATGACCAACCCCAACCTGACCATCAGCGTTCCCATCGCCCCGGGAGAGTCTGACGTGGAGTTCCCCGAGGAGGAGGAGGAAGAGGAGGAGGAGGAGGAAGAGGAGGAGGGTCAGGAGGAGCAGAGCGAGGGCTCAGAGGGAGACGAGGAGCGGGAGGAGGAGGTGAGCATGTGTTAGTCAGCTGGTAACGACCGAGCTAATGACATCAGAACCTCACCTGGTAAAAATGATGTCATCAGCCTCAGAGAGGCGGCTTGGGGTTAAATTAGAGCAGAACCATAACGGGTCCTGGAGAACCAGAACATTTCCAGGTAGAACATTTCCACCATGAACCTGTCTATCTGGCGAGTAGGGAGAAACCAGAACCTTCCTGACTCTAACCCACCCATCAGAGAGAGAGTGGAACCAGAGCTGCCCCACGTCGACCTCATGAAGCGGGCGTTAGGGCGCCGCCACCACAGGAAGCGGGCGTTAGGACGCCGCGACCACAGGAACTGGAGGAATCTGAAAGCTTCACCTTAACCCTGAGAGGAAGGATCTGATCTAAAGGTTCAGATCTAACCAAGACGGAGCAGCGATGCAGCAGGAACGGCTAATCGAGTCGCAGCACCAGTCGTTTTAATTCAATTCTATTCAGTTTATTTCTATAGCTCCAATTCACATCATGTCATCTCAGGTCACTTTCCAGTTCAACCAGTCCCTAGGGAGAGTATGTGTTGGGATGTGTACAGTATAAATGTGTGTGCTGAGCTTGCCCCAGTCGGAACTTTTCTTTCCGTCTAGGACAGGGGTGTCAAACTGGTTCCAGAAAGGGCCGCGTGGCTGCAGGTTTTCTTTCCAACCAAGCAATATCACACCAGACTCCAGTCATCTCATCAAGTCATCATGTTCAGACTGGACTCACTTGATGAGATGACTGGAGTCTGGTGTGATATTGCTTGGTTGGAAAGAAAACCTGCAGCCACACGGCCCTTTCTGGAACCAGTTTGACACCTGTGGTCTAGGACATAAAATAAATTTGGACGTTTTTCTTGCAAGAAATTCCTTCACTTTCTCCACAACTTCAGAATAAACAGCTGCTGGGAATCAATGTTCTTGGCTGGTTCTTCTCCTCCAGTCTCTGTCCCTCTCAGGCCGTTCTCTAGGTGTTTCCTGTCATTGCTGTTGGATATTTCTCATGCTTTGGTCAGATTGTAAACCTTAAGCCGGGAATGCAATGTACAATATTTTCAATTGTTGTACGACGAAAAGTTCCCAGCTGACGATGTTTGTTCTCACACTGTACGACCCTTTACCTTGGCTGGTCCTTGGCTGGTCCTTGGTTTGTCCTTGGCTGATCCTTGGCTGGTCCTTGGCTGGTCCTTGGCTGATCCTTGGCTGGTCCTTGGCTGGTCCTTGGCTGGTCCTTGGTTTGTCCTTGGCTGATCCTTGGCTGGTCCTTGGCTGGTCCTTGGCTGATCCTTGGCTGGTCCTTGGCTGGTCCTTGGTTTGTCCTTGGCTGATCCTTGGTTGGTCCTTGGTTGGTCCTTGGCTGGTCCTTGGTTAGTCCTTGGCTTATCTTTGGTTGATTCATGGCTGATCCTTGGTTGGTCCTTGGCTGATCCATGGCTTATCTTTGGCTGGTCCTTGGAAGGTCCTTGGCTGGTCCTTGGTTGGTCCTTGGTTGGTCCTCGGCTTATCTTTGGTTGATCCATGGCTGGTCCTTGGCTGGTCCTTGGTTGGTCCTTGGTTGGTCCTCGGCTTATCTTTGGTTGATCCATGGCTGGTCCTTGGCTTATCTTTGGTTGGTCCTTGGTTGGTCCTTGGCTTATCTTTGGTTGGTCCTTGGTTGGTCCTTGGTTGATCCATGGCTGGTCCGTGGCTTATCTTTGGTTGGTCCTTGGTTGGTCCGTGGCTTATCTTTGGTTGATCCATGGCTGATCCTTGGCTTATCTTTGGTTGGTCCTTGGCTTATCTTTGGCTGATCCTTGGTTGGTCCTTGGCTTATCTTTGGTTGGTCCTTGGTTGGTCCTTGGTTGGTCCCTGGTTGGTCCTTGGCTGGTCCTTGGCTTATCTTTGGCTGGTCCTTGGCTTATCTTTGGTTGATCCCTGGTTGGTCCTTGGCTGATCCATGGCTTATCTTTGGTTGGTCCCTGGTTGGTCCTTGGCTGATCCATGGCTTATCTTTGGCTGGTCCTTGGAAGGTCCTTGGCTGGTCCTTGGCTTATCTTTGGTTGGTCCCTGGTTGGTCCTTGGCTGATCCATGGCTTATCTTTGGCTGGTCCTTGGAAGGTCCTTGGCTGGTCCTTGGTTGGTCCTTGGTTGGTCCTCGGCTTATCTTTGGTTGATCCATGGCTGGTCCTTGGCTGGTCCTTGGTTGGTCCTTGGTTGGTCCTCGGCTTATCTTTGGTTGATCCATGGCTGGTCCTTGGCTTATCTTTGGTTGGTCCTTGGTTGGTCCTTGGCTTATCTTTGGTTGGTCCTTGGTTGGTCCTTGGTTGATCCATGGCTGGTCCGTGGCTTATCTTTGGTTGGTCCTTGGTTGGTCCGTGGCTTATCTTTGGTTGATCCATGGCTGATCCTTGGCTTATCTTTGGTTGGTCCTTGGCTTATCTTTGGCTGATCCTTGGTTGGTCCTTGGCTTATCTTTGGTTGGTCCTTGGTTGGTCCTTGGTTGGTCCCTGGTTGGTCCTTGGCTGGTCCTTGGCTTATCTTTGGCTGGTCCTTGGCTTATCTTTGGTTGATCCATGGCTGATCCTTGGCTTATCTTTGGCTGGTCCTTGGAAGGTCCTTGGCTGGTCCTTGGTTGGTCCTTGGTTGGTCCTTGGTTGGTCCTTGGCTTATCTTTGGTTGATCCATGGCTGGTCCTTGGTTGGTCCTTGGCTTATCTTTGGTTGGTCCTTGGCTGGTCCTTGGAAGGTCCTTGGCTGGTCCTTGGTTGGTCCTTGGTTGGTCCTTGGCTTATCTTTGGTTGATCCTTGGCTTATCTTTGGTTGGTCCTTGGCTGATCCTTGGCTGATCCTTGGTTGGTCCTTGGCTTATCTTTGGTTGATCCTTGGCTTATCTTTGGCTGGTCCTTGGAAGGTCCTTGGATGGTCCTTGGATGGTCCTTGGCTGTTCCCCTACAATTCCTTATTAAACATCTAAAATATTCTTTCTGTCATGATTTGTGGACAAATATAAAGAGAAGCGCCGTCTCCTGGTCAGACACAGTAATTCAGTGAAAGGGTGGAGTCAGAGTAAAAAATATGCAAGGGGGGGGGGGGTTTAGGGAAGTGATCTGCCATTCGGCTTGCGTTTAACTGGGAACGGCCATTTTAAATGGCGGTTACTGTAAATGAGCTCTTAGCTCTGCTGTCAGCAGGATTTACCCACGCCCACCTCCCCACTGCTGACTGAACTTGGAACATGTTTTATTTTCTCCTGACCTTACGATTCCATATCGGGAGACGGTTGCCCCTAGTTACCCCCTGTACACTACTCCATGCAGGGCCGATCCAAAAAGTTCTCACATGACTGGAGAATCGGCTAGAAAATGGCAAAGATCCTACAGTTTATGCGGATTTACCGAAGTCATTCAGAAGCATGATGCGATCAAACTGCAGTTCTATCCGAACATTTCCTGGTTGGGTCCTGCAGTCCTGATGCTTCCTCCTCAGTGAGGAAAACCGATGTTCTTCTCCGTCGTCACCGACTAGCATCCTTCCTGCAGAGAACAAATGAAGCTCGGCCACGCAGGCACTTTTTTCCATGAGTAATAGATCCACCTGCTCAGTTTTACCTTAAACACGTAATATTTTGACACGGAGATATTTCACAGCGGCGGTAGCCGAGCGTCCTCGCTGGATCAGCAACATCACGGTGAAAAATGATTTGAGACGTTCGCCCGGCTCTGACCCAGATAGGCCGATGTTCCTGCAGGGCGGCGACGCAGGTGAGATGAGTCAGCAGGCCGGTCCAGGTGTGGTTCTGTCTGTGATGCAGGTCCGCTGAGCGAGCAGAGGAATGACCATCTGGAGGTCTGTTCTGGCGCCGGTCCGGCGGATCCTCCGGAAGCTGGATTTTACCGTCCTCTAGTCAGATTTATGGTCCTTTTTTTCTGATCCAAAGTTAGTGTTTGATAGAGAACCCAGAGCAGCTGCTGCGGATCCAAACACGTCGTTTGGTTTTTATTTGCTGAACAGTCAGATGGCAGCAGGTTAGTTAGTTAGTTCAGGCATCCAGATGTGCTGAAGCATCAAACTGAAACCCAGAAAAAGGATTTCAGGAGCTGATGGGAGCGCCGGATCTGGAGGGATTTGCACCAACAACCTTCTCTCACTCTGTAAAAATGACCTAGAAATAGGTAAAAATCTTGGTAATTTAATTGAAGCGGTGAAAGAATGAGTATTTTTATTCTTAAAATAAGATAATTAGATAAAATCCACTTAAAATAAGACAATGCAATTATTTAAACTGTTAATTATCTTCTTTAATTGAAAAAGTGTCAAACTTTCCTCCTCAATTCAAGAAAAATGCATTTATTTTAAGAAGAAACGACTTATTTAGAGTCTATTTTTTGCAGCAGGTTAATAGAAAAAGAGAAAGTATCCTTTGATTTATCTAGATTTTGATTTATTTCCAGTGTTTCCATCCATCATTTCCCAGTTCAAACTGGGCGGTGTGGGTTCTGCAGCTGAGGGTCAGTGTTCGGTGACCTCTGACCTCTGCAGATGTCAGGTGGCGTCTGCAGAAACAGCTGCTTTGATTTCCCTCTGAGCGACATCAGAAGAAGCAGATGAACAAACGCTTCCTGCCAGGAAAGCAGGACCTTTAACATTTCTACATCCATCCCATCTAGATCTAGATCTATAACTAGATCTATCTTTATGTTAAAGGCATGTTGTCCCTTTAAAAAATTTTATATAATTTTTCCAGGAACTGTTGGTTCTAAAAGGGAACAAATAAAAAAGTTTGAATATTAGAAGTTGGTAAAATGTTTTAGGTCTTTATTTAGTTTTATTTGGTGATTTTATTGTGTCGTTGCTGTGTGTGATGGCAGTGAGCTGCCTTAGGGTCGCTTTGTTAGCTTCTTCTTCTTCTTCCTTTCTGCATTTAGATGAACATTAAGATGAACTACGTCCCGGTTCTGTCCCGCTGAGCGATGCTGCTGTGTCCTTGGCAGTCTGTCCCTCTGTGCCTTTAAGCAAAGATGTTGACTGCCGGGGAAAATAAACATCCGTTACCGTGGCAACCCATGCTGAAACAAGACTCCTGCTGGAGTTTTGATCGGGGTCCAGAGGATCACAGAGATATGAAGCTGAAGGTTTTGGATGTTCCCACATCTCCAGTGACAGTGAACGCACCACATCCACATTATCTTTAACTATACCTCAGGTTGACCTGCTGTGACCCAGAGGAGGGCTCTACGGCTCACCGCCCAGGGTGGCATCTGGTTAAGGGGCCGGTTTAGACAGCAGGAAGGTCTTTGACGAATTTCCTCAGCTCTGTTGGAGAACTGTGTCTCCATAGTTAGCCCTGGCCGCTCCAGACGGGCTAACGTTAACCCTGGCCGCTGCAGACGGGCTAACGTTAGCCCGACTGCAGCCGCCAGGGCTAACGTTAGCCCGACTGCAGCCGCCAGGGCTAACGTTAGCCCGTCTGCAGCGGCCAGGGTTAACGTTAGCCCGTCTGCAGCGGCCAGGGCTAACGTTAGCCCGTCTGGAGCGGCCAGGGCTAACGTTAGCCCGTCTGCAGCAGCCAGGGCTAACGTTAGCCCGTCTGAAGCAGCCAGGGCTAACGTTAGCCCGTCTGCAGCAGCCAGGGCTAACGTTAGCCCGTCTGAAGCAGCCAGGGCTAACGTTAGCCCGTCTGTAGTGGCCAGGGTTAACGTTAGCCCGTCTGCAGCGGCCAGGGCTAACGTTAGCCCGTCTGCAGCAGCCAGGGCTAACGTTAGCCCGTCTGTAGCAGCCAGGGCTAACGTTAGCCCGTCTGCAGCAGCCAGGGCTAACGTTAGCCCGTCTGCAGCGGCCAGGGTTAACGTTAGCCCGTCTGCAGCGGCCAGGGCTAACTTTAGCCCATCTGCAGCGGCCAGGGCTAACATTAGCCCGTCTGCAGCAGCCAGGGCTAACGTTAGCCCGTCTGCAGCAGCCAGGGCTAACGTTAGCCCGTCTGCAGCGGCCAGGGCTAACGTTAGCCCGTCTGCAGCGGCCAGGGCTAACTTTAGCCCATCTGCAGCGGCCAGGGCTAACGTTAGCCCGTCTGCAGCGGCCAGGGCTAACGTTAGCTGCAGACCTGATGGAGGTTTGATTGATTTATTTGGTAAAATGTTTGATTTGTGTTTATCTGACTGTGTTCATTATTATTCCTCCACTAAATGAAAAAAGTCATAATTTATTATTATCTAGAGACTATTAATAACAGGAGGTGAAATGCAGCTCCAGACTAGCTTTGGATGTGGTGATGTCATCAGTACGCTTCTTCCCGTTCTCCCAGAGTCCAGACTTTACTGGTTTCTAGTCAAGAACGGACTTGGTCCGTATTCACGTTCTAGTGAATTGAGAAAAGTGTAGCTGGGGATCAGTGATGCTGTGGGCCTGTTAGCGACTGCAGCGGCTTCAGAGGAAGATCCTGATGCTTCATGTGTGATTTTAATGTTTCTGCTTCATCGGATTCAGGCTCGGTTTGAGGCGTCCATCTTTGGGACGACCTTCAGAAAGCGATCCAGGTTTCCTTCTTTTCCAGCCGCTTTCCGTCGTCCGTTAGCCACAGTAATCCGATTCCTCTGCCGTCCCTGAGAGTCTCTGCATGAAGCTCAGCTCCACACAAGCTGAAATACATTTAAACTCCTCATTACAGACGTCAGCTGTCAGGAGGCTCTGGCTCCGGGCTGCTGGCGGCGCGCGTTTCGCCATCCAGTCCTTTATGAGGCGTGTGTGTGTCAGAGATTAGAGCGCGGCGTGCGTGTTTGGCTTCACCTCTGCCTGCGTTCGTGTCCAAGGCTGCTGGCATTTGTCACAGTCGCTGCTCTCTGTTCTCCGCCTCTGAATGTATTCATGAGTGGCTGTTGACTCAGGTAGTTAGCTCACCTGTCCACACACACACACCCATACATTTTCTGCCATCGTAGTGAGGACTCCCATTGATTTTCGTCATTTTCGACCCTGAAACTAACCCTAACCATTATCAAAAAGCAGGAGAGGCCTGTCAAAACATCCTGACTTTGCAACAACCGGTCCTCAGTTTGATGGTGAAATTGTAAAAACGGTCCTCACTCTGAGGGATAGACAGGCACACACATACACACACACTGCTTCTTTGTCCAGACTAGAGGCAAACCAGCCAGATTTCTCTCCCTCCATCGTCTCTTTGTAGAATTAAACTCCCATGACGCTCAGCAAACTGGGAGCTTTAAAGTCCGCCGGGATTGATGTAGCGGCGGCGGGCTTTCCTGACGGTGGAGTTTTGTCCTGATTTCAGGTGAACAGACGGTGGAAGATGACGCTCCTCTTTTCTCTCAGCCAGGATTCCTGCCGCTTCCAAACCAATCTGACGCATTCGGGTTGGAGCGCGGTGAAACGAAGCCGCTCTGGGCGCAGAAACGCCATGAAAACTTAGATTAATACCAACATGGAGAATTATCCAGGCCACAAACACAGATGGGCAGAAAGCTTTCCTCCATATTTACTTGTTACTTCCGTCCCTCAGCTCGTCCTCACTTCCTCTTCCTGTCTTTATTTCCAGCAGAAGGAGGAAATCAGCCTATCAGAGGGCAGCACGGTGGACCTGAGGAAGCCTGGGGAGGAAGAGGATGAGTACTCAGAGACGGCTGAGGAGGCCATGGATCCAGAGAACTGCTTCCCAGACGGTAAGCCCACCCATCAGGGGCGGATTTAGGAAATTTGAGGCCCTAGGCAAAGACAGGCAGGGGCCCCTCTGAATGGAGAAGACATCAAACAGCCCCATTCTCCAGATAGAGAAATGTTAATAGAATATACATCCATTATCTGTTCTAGGTTGTGTCCCTCTCTTCTTGTCCCTTTTCTTCTTGTTTTCCTCTCTATGTTTTGTACTCAGCTGACTTTTCATGCTGTCTCTAAAGGAATGAAAGATTTTTTCCAAGCACTAAGCTCACTTAGCTGATTGCTCCTTCCTGTGTTTCCAAAAAGGCCAAAGTAAATAACCCAGTCCTTCTTTTCACTGTAGACAAGCCATGATCTGCTTATCTGTTCTCCATTTTTCATTTGGATGAAATAATAGCTGCATGAATCATGACAGCAGACAAGATAGAGGAGAGCAGGAGGCGGGGTTACCAATCTACTGGCTCTGGAGAGCAGAGTTCGCTGCTTTTAGATGTTGTCTCCAAAGTCTCCAGTAGCAGAAAAAAGTCTCTAGATTTGGCGCTAGGAGCTTTTTAGAAATCAAAGTGCTAGAGGGGTCTGAAAAGTGGCTAAATATAGCGACTAAAGCGCTAAGTTGGCAACACTGCTCTTTGCATGGTTTGTTTTCAAATGGTTTGCTGCTGTCTGTTTGGACCTTTCTGAACATGTGCAGCAAATGGACTGATCCAATATGGTGGACACTGAAGGGGGGGGCTGAGACACACGTAATATTATCAGCGTTCTGATGGCATTTTAGTTAAAAACATAATTAATGTGCAGAAATAAGGAATAGTTGTATTAACCATACATGGAAACAGAGTTTTATGGGGCCCCCAGGAACTTGGGGCCCTAGGTAACTGCCTAGTATTGCCTAATGGTAAATCCCGCCCCCTGCGACCCATAATGCATCAGGAGAAAAACCTGGCAGCTGTTCAAATCGCGGCTGAAGTGACACCTGGTGTTTTCAAACATCCAGTATTTCACCCAGATTATTTATTTATCACATAAAAAAAAAAAAAGTTTCCTTTTTTTGATGATTTTAACAGCAAACTATTAAAATAAAACCTTAAACATTCATTAGTTTACTAGATGATTTATTTCAATAAACAATACGAAGGTTTATTTATTCAGTATTAATAAAGTTTTTTGATATGTTTATTTATTTTAAATACATAGATTATTTATAGAAAGTAAATTTTATGTAATTTATACAATAAACTTTATTATCTAACTTTATTTAGTAATTATTTTTTCTAATAAATGATAAATTGTTCTGTAGTAAATTTAAATAAATCTCAAAAAATATATATTTAATTTTTTATTTTTTTTATGTTAAATTTTCAGTGGATCATTTTTGAGTGCAGCTTAAGGTGGAGGTCCAGTTTGGACGGAGAGATACGTCTTAGTAGAGTTATTAATAAAAACACTTAAATAGAAACAACCTGCTGGAGGTTTCTTCCTGTTCAAAGGGAGTTTTTCCTCTCCACTGTCGCTACAAGCATGCTTAGTGTGAGGGATTGCTGAAGAGTCAATGAGTCGATGCAATCAGCTGGTTTTCCTTAGATAGAAAACTTTGAATCAATCTGACCTGATGATCTGGTTGATCTGGAAAGTGACCTGAGATGACATGATGTGAATTGGAACTATAGAAATAAACTGAATAGAATTGAAATGAGGGAAAAATCAAGGAAAACTGAGAGGATCTGATACTAATGTCCCGAAGGATCGTCTGAGGATGCTGTTCTGATCCGTTTGTGGTTCGTTACTCGAGTCCATTATAATCTTAATTGTTTGTTATGTTTTTTTTTTAAACATCTAACTTTTATTATCTGAATTTTTGCACATTTTTTAAACCCTATCTAGAAGAATCTGGAATCCGTTTGGTTGGAGGGTAAAACTTTACTGGCTTATTGTCGTTTTCCTCCAGTCTCAGATTTTATTCTAGAACCAGAAAGCAGAGCAGTTTAGATGCTGTAGAATTAAATATAGAATTAATAATAATAACAATCAATAAGAAGTTTTCTATGTTGGAGAAACCAGGACAACCAGAGGAAACTAAAACAAACTGCGAGCAGAAAACTTGCTGCAAAGCCTCAGAGAAAAATGAGTGTTTTTATTAGTGCGTCTGTGAAGGTGTATCCTCCCACAATCCTACGGTTTCTCTAACCCCCCCCGCCCCCCACTACCACCACCCACTTGGCCCAAAACTTTCAGAGCAGATTTATGAGCGTGTTCGTACTAACCCAGGTGAGAAGCAAACACCTTGGTACCTCCTGACTCAGCCGCTTTCCTCCTGCACAGATTTGTCTCCAGCGAAGGAAGCAGGACACTCACTGGGAGGAAACTGGTTTAACATTAACCAGTAAAGATGATGGATGACAGGCTAACGTTAGCCCTGTCTGAACCCAGGAAAAGCCTGGTGCTGTTTCTACGCAGATGATCAGCTGCTGCTCGCTTAACGCTGACAGGAAGTGGCAATCGGATCGGCCTTTAGATAAGGAGCCGTCGTTCTCTGCTGGTTTTCTTTTAAGCATTTAGTCACAGAGGGAAGAGAATATGGTGATAGTTTTTATTTATCAATCGTTGGAAACGGTTGCTGGAAACAGACAGAAAACAGACAGAAAACAGACAGGAAACAAACAGGAAACAGACAGGAAAACAGACAGGAAACAGACAGAAAACAGACAGGAAACAGACAAGAAAAAAGACAGGAAACAAACAGGAAACAGACAGGAAACAAACAGGAAACAGACAAGAAAACAGACAGGAAACAGTCAAGAAAACAGACAGGAAACAGACAAGAAAACAGTCAGGAAACAAACAGGAAACAGACAGGAAAACAGACAGGAAACAAACAGGAAACAGACAAGAAAACAGACAGGAAACAGACAAGAAAACAGACAGGAAACAAACAGGAAACAGACAGGAAACAGACAAGAAAACAGACAGGAAACAAACAGGAAACAGACAGGAAACAAACAGGAAACAGACAGGAAAACAGACAGGAAACAGACAGGAAACAGACAAGAAAAAAGACAGGAAACAAACAGGAAACAGACAGGAAACACAGGAAACCAGACAGGAAACAGACAGGAAACAAACAGGAAACAGACAGGAAACAGACAAGAAACAGACAGAAAACCAGACAGGAAACAAACAGGAAACAGACAGGAAAACAGACAGGAAACAGACAGGAAACCAGACAGGAAACAGACAGGAAACAAACAGGAAAACAGACAGGAAACCAGACAGGAAACAGACAGGAAACAGACAGGAAAACAGACAGGAAACAGACAGGAAACAGACAGGAAACAGACAGAAACAGACAGGAAACAGACAGAATCAGACAGGAAACAAACAGAAACAGACTAGAAACAGACAGAAACAGACAGGAAACAGACAGAAACAGACAGGAAACAGACAGGAAACAGACAGGAAAACAGACAGGAAACAGACAGAAACAGACAGGAAACAGACAGGAAACAGACAGAAACAGACAGGAAACAGAAAGAATCAGACAGGAAACAGACAGAAACAGACAAGAAACAGACAGAAACAGACAGGAAACAGACAGAAACAGACAGGAAACAGACAGGAAAACAGACAGGAAACAGACAGAAACAGACAGGAAACAGACAGAAACAGACAGGAAACAGACAGGAAAACAGACAGGAAAAAGAAAGGAAACAGACAGGAAAACAGACAGGAAACAGACAAGAAAACAGACAGGAAACAGACAGAAACAGACAGGAAACAGACAGGAAACAGACAGAAACAGACAAGAAACAGACAGGAAACAGACAGAAACAGACAGGAAACAGACAGGAAAACAGACAGGAAACAGACAGAAACAGACAGGAAACAGACAGAAACAGACAGGAAACAGACAGGAAACCAGACAGGAAAAAGAAAGGAAACAGACAGGAAAAAGACAGGAAAACAGACAGGAAACAGACAAGAAAACAGACAGGAAACAGACAGAAACAGACAAGAAACAGACAGAAGCAGACAGGAAACAGACAGGAAAACAGACAGGAAAAAGACAGGAAACAGACAGGAAAACAGACAGGAAACAGACAGGAAATAGACAGGAAACAGACAGAATCAGACAGGAAACAGACAGAAACAGACAAGAAACAGACAGGAAACAGACAGAAACAGACAGGAAACAGACAGGAAACAGACAGGAAAACAGACAGGAAACAGACAGAAACAGACAGGAAACAGACAGGAAAAAGACAGGAAACAGACAGGAAAACAGACAGGAAACAGACAAGAAAACAGACAGGAAACAGACAGAAAACAGACAGGAAACAGACAAGAAAACAGACAGGAAACAGACAGAAAACAGACAGGAAACAGACAGGAAAACATGCATAACTACAGGAATGATGTCAAACAAAAAGGTTGTCAATCAGCTTCTAAGGATGATCGCGTTCTCAGGGTAATCTTCTATGTATTGGATGTTTTTGCCTCTTTTATTGAAAATACAAACTTTTATATGAATTTTCCACTTCATAAAGACAGAGAGCGAATCTTCCTGGGTGCAGACAGAGCATCATCATCATCATCATCATCATCGTATCGGTGCATCAGGGACAGCAGCTGCTGTGTTTAAGTGTTTTCCTTCTCTGCTGAAATTTAAGGCCTTTTAATGGATGAATTAACAAAAAGATTCGATCCTCTGAAACCGTCCGGTGCTTCCAATGTCCGCCTCTGGAAATCCTAAACAGCAAACATCTTATTTGTATTTTTAGTTTTTAAAATTAAGAAAAAAAGAAAACAGTTCATAGAAAAGAATCATAGATTTTCTTTTATAGGCTATTATTTACTGTACAAAAAAAACACATAGTTTCCAAGCTAATTAAAAGATAAAAGCTCAAAATATTTCTGGTTACTTTATTTAAATATTCTTTATAAAGTTTTTTTGTTATTTTAGGACACTAGTTTCTCTTTAGATCATTTTAGCCACCGTTTATAGGCAGAG